CATGTGCCCTCTAATTTTAATAAACATTTTAAGAATGTTTATTAGGAGGATCTATGTTACAAAGAGGGATCGGGGCATCAAATTTGGAAGTTTAATCATATTCTAAATGTGATCAAATCTCGGAATGTTCAAGCTTAAAATTACTTGTGGGCTATTGATAGGCATTACCACATGATGGGGCAAACGTTATGGTCAACTTACTACGAACATGCCAGAAGCTCTTAATGGAGTTCTCAAGGGAGCTAGTAGACTTCCAATCTCACCAATTATTGGCATCACATTCCAGCATTGTGTCAAGTGTTTTCTAAATAGTTTTGAGTGTGGCAATGGGATGGTTTAGGAAGGACAATTGTGATCCACGTATGCTTATGACATGTACAAGTTGTGGGAAGATGAATATGCTAACTGTGTCACGACTTAGTTTAATCAACAACTATATTTTGTCGAGGTAATGATTATATCTCATCCAAGTGGAGGTGGTTCCTGATCGCATTCGCAGTTGTTAACCAAGAGACAAACGACAACTGGGATTGATTTTTAAAATATTTTAAGGGTTGCAATAGGGACGGACAGAACGCTAGCCTTCGTATCTGACAGAAACCACGGCATTCTTAAAGGTGTCAAGAACGTCCGGATTGTGTGCATGGATATTGTTATAAACATTTAATTTTGAATCTCAAAGATAAATTTAGGGGTGCTACTAAGAATTATTACAATGCAGTCCTCAAACAGTTTGAATACTGCGCATATGCTGCTACTAAACAAGAATTTGACAGGGCCTTGGTGAAGCAGCGAGCAACGGGCGGACCCAGAGTTTGTAAATTTCTGTCAGATGCCCCTAAAGATAACTGGTCCAACGCATATTTTGTGGGACAGCGGTATGGCCAGATGACGTCAAACGTTTTTGAATCGTGGAATTCACAAATTAGGATAGGGAGATTACTTCCGATAACGAATTTAATTTATGGTATTCGCATATTGGTGATGGCACAGATGCCACGTAGACTAGGTGAGGCGTATGATTGACCAATTGTGTTGTGCGACACCTTTGATAAAAAGATGAGGTTGTTGGTTGGTTGACAAAGGCCGATCTTGGCAGGTGAAAAAGTCGTCCGATTATGTAACAGTCGTCCATTGTTTAGACGGGATTGCTGAAAACGAAGGACAACGATGATACCGGAGTGGATTCCGAGGGTGATTTGGGGGATAAATATTGGGAGGATTTTTCGGTAATTTGATATTGGAAGGGATTTTGCATTAATTTACCGTATTTTTTTATTTTAAATAATTATACTAATTAGTGGGGGCATATAAGGTTTTTGAGGCCCATTAGGTTTATGTTAAATATCAATTACAAATAAAGGATTTATCAAGAAGTAAAATTTCAATGATAGGTGTTTATCAAATCCCCCTTCAAAAAAGGCCCTCCACATACAACAAATGAAATATGCACCTAATAATATTTAAAATACATTTATCATTTTTTATTATGCATTTAACATGTTTATTTTTGCATCTAATATTTTATTTTTATTTTTTTGTATGTAGAACACGATCATTTTTGCCTTTTCATTTTAGTATTTTTTTGATATTATAAAAATCTATTTTTTTCCCTTTTTTTTCTACATAATATTTCGGTCATAGTCACCCATAGACACCCGTAGGAACCTGTAGTAGTTGTAGTCACCCATAGTCATTCGCATTCAAATTTTGAAAACACTAACTTCCCCTTTGAAACCGTAGCCGCCGGTCACGTAGACACTTGTAGTAATCCATAGTTACTCGTAATTATTCACGCTCATAAAAAAACGAAATCCTAGATCTACAACCACAAGTAGCCATCGTCTTACATATCTCCATAACTACCCTCCACCCAAAACCGAGACAATCACCACCCTAACCGCTTTCATAACCATTCTCCATACCGACCGACTCCATAGCCGTCGCCAGCCACGAAACTTGCCTCTATCCCACCGCCGCCATAGCCGCCACCAGGTCCACCACCAACCATTAGCCATTTCCATAACCAAGCCTCACATCCAGAGATATGCCTCAACCAGCCCAACCATATCCGCCGTTGTCACTCACCATAGCCGTCTCTATAACCAACCCACCATACCTTCTACCGCCACCTAACAGATCTGCCAAAAAGAAAATAGGAAAAAGGGGAGGGATTGGAGCGGCAGATAAATGTGTGAGAGAAATAGAGGATGAGTGGTGCGGTGGAACCAAGAGAGAGAGAGAGAAGGGGTGGGGTGGGGCGGCTAAATAAAAAAGGGAGAGGAGAAAGAGAGAAATGAGAAAGAACCGTTATTTATTAGTTATATTAAGAGTATTTTTTGTTAAATTAAAATCAATGATCAAATTTGGTTTTGAACCTTGATTTGAGCCTCGGAGAAAAGGTGTTCTTTCTTTTAGCCAATGTGTATAAGGTAGAAAAGTGGAGATTCTTGAAAAATTACCCCTTGAAGTTCGGTCGAAAAATTTTATAAGGTCCTTCTTCTTCGAAAAAAAAATTAGAAAGAAGAAAAAAAAAATATATATATATATATATATATATATATATATATATATATATATATATATATATATATATATATA